TACATTGTTAACTTGAAATTCATAAAATAAAGTAATTCCGGTAGAAGAGGAGGTACTTTTTAATAATTCATATATAATTTTTCTTCATTTTATTCGAATGTTATATCCCAACTCGCGATTTCAACAAATATTGATCAAGTCTTGGAAAATATTATTAGTTTTAATTTAAATTATGGCTCATAAAGTGGTTTTATGTTAACAAATAATTCTCTTTCCAATTTTATGATCCATGAAACAGATGTAAAAGAGATATTTTGATTTGAAATTAAAATAGGGTTTACCAAAATAGAGAATAAAATATGAAATCGAATATTAAATATAGAATTTTAATAACAACGTGATAAAAGTTGTATTTGAGAAACAGTACATTGTTTAAATTATAATAGTTTTTGCAAATTTTTGATAAATTGATACAAGTTAATTATTTGAGTAATTTCTTTATAAATTTCATATTTTTTTATTTAGATATTACTAATTTAGACATGTTTACCAATTTGTATAGATATTACAAAATTCTAAACTCTAATCTATATGCTTCTCAGTTTTGAAATCATGATAAAGAGTAATGAGTAGATATGGTGCAACCTGATATCAAGCAGTAGTGAAATCTATGACTTGAAAATATACATACGAAATATGTTTCAAATTAAAAAAGCTATTTCAGTCATAGGTACAATAAATTACTTGTTCTAAAAATAGTTATTAAGTAAGTCAGCATATATTAACAATAGAAAGGACAACCATTAGAATATCTTCTAATGTAGTCATTTCTTAAATAAACAGTTACTAAAAGTCTTCACTTATTAGACTGATATTTATTGTAATTCATATATAAAAATAACAAAATAGAATTTTACAACTTATTTTCAAGATTCGGTACTAATTTTTGGATGAAAAGCTAGCGACATCAAATTTTATTAGAGAGAGAGCAGGAATATTCACTTATTTTTAGTAAATCCTTATAGTAAACAAAAAGCGTATCTTTATTTTGTTTTAATTTTTTCAACTTTGGTTTTAATCACAAAAGTATAAAATTGTGTATATATTTTATAACATATAAGACCTTAGAGTCTTGATTAACAAAAATAAATTATAACAAAAAAAATTATAATATAGTCAATTACCAAAATAGAGAATAAAATCTAAAATCGAAATTAAAATATAGAGTTTTAATAACAATTTGATAAAAGTAGTATTTGAAGTACAGAACATTGTTCAAATTATAATTGTTTTTGCAATTTTTTTATTAATTGATACAAGTTTATCTTTGAGTCATATTTTATGAAACAAGATAGTTAAATTTTCACGAATTCTTATATAGTAATTTTTATACCTGTCCTGAAGTGGACAACGAGTAAAACTGCAAGAAAAAAATTACTTTAAAAATAAAAAAAATTCTAACCATTATCAGAGCTTTCAAAAGTTGACAAATTTAATGTAACATGATTTTTTTTAATTTTGCCCTTTAGTCGGCTTGGGTGATACTCGAGGCGGCTTTTGTAATTATCTGAATAAGTTTATATTTTATCAATTATCGTGTAATTCTAATGAAATTTTATTACCCTTAGTGTACAAACAGCATATTTCCATTTTATATTATTTTTCCCAAACTTCGGTACCAATGCATTTTAGTAGTGTGTGCAGATTCAAATGTAAAAACTCGGCTTTGGAGATAGATGCAAAAAAAAGACGACGCCGAACGCGCACGGATCTCGTGAATATTCATTCGTCGCATTTAAAATAATAATAAAATTTCCCGAGGGAATATACAACGAGAGGAAAAATGCGAAAACTCGGTCAGAACACAATGCCTTTCGTCCTGAACAGGAGAGGTGCGGTTTTGTTATAGCATTAAATTCATTGGAAAATCAATTTTTTGGCATTTTTCACCAGACCGTGAAAATACACTGGAAATGTGTTTTGTGGAAATGCGGACATGACCTGCATTTTACGGTAATAATAGATTTTTGATATACAGTAGAATGGCAACTTAGATTTTATGGTTTTATATTTCATCGATTTGGTATTGTGCTTTTTGTGCCATTTTTAACATTGAATTCGGGTGAAAGTAAAATCATACATATAGAAATTGTGTTAAAAACAACAACTCGATCATCTTTTGAATTTGCTTTTTAATTCAAATTATTAACAAAATTAACAAATATTAAAAATCATTTAAACATAGAGAACTTTTCTAAATATCACAAAAACAGAAATAACTGTTATTAGTCAGTTTCATTGATTAAAAATTATATAATTTAAAAGTATGCTTAATAAACTATACTATAGTTTAATTAAACATTATTCATTTATTAATTCATCATATTGTTATTGAATAAATGAAGTGATTCTTAGTGTTTATATTCAACTACAAATTTTAAAATTTATTGGAATGTTTTTATTTTTAATATATAGTGAATGGCAGTCAGAACAATTGTATTCTATAAGCCATTAGGCTATAATTTTGATCCACAGGAATGTTTTTTAAACTAATTTCTACCCCAAATTTGGATGAAATTAATAACACATATATGGTATAATTAAATAAAATTTTAAAAAATCAAATATACTGACAATGAATTAAATCGACAATAATCTACTTTTAATTTACTCATATACTTCATCTTTGAAATTACAAAGACAAAAATTACATATCAATTATTGTTTGACATTAATAGGTTTGTTTGATTTATAAATATTATCATATAAAATACCTATTAAAATTTTCAATTAATGAGTCACGAATTATTATTTGTAGAAAATAAATGAAATAAATTTATTATCCATGGCTGTCGATTTTATATTTTATATAACTATATACTTTTTCTTTGAAATTTGAGTTGAAGTATTGTAATCAAACTCAATTTATAAATTCTTAATAAGTTTTATATGGAAACTTAAAACAACGGTTTTAGCAATGAACTCATTTTAAAATTGCCTATTAAAATTAACAAGTATCAAAATATATTTAAATATAATAATTTATAAAACATAATTTTAATTTATAAATTACATAAATTATATTGAGCAAATATTAATGCAGTTCAATTAAAAATTATTTAGTCATAAATTTTTGAATATAATTATTATTATCTAAACTTTCTTGAAAATTTTCTCTAGAATCTCAAATTCTATACAATTTTGAAATATTATTGTTATGATACTCAGATATGAAAAATCATAAATAATAAATATTAATAGTCATTTGAATTTGTAAACTACTATTTTTTATAAATTTAAAAAAAAATTCCAATATCAAAATATTTAGAGAATGTGTCCACAACTTTTCACATAAATACGCATTTTTACTTTTTAATTAAAGATAAATTAAGAAAGATAAATTTGATTTTTAATAAAAAGATACGTTTCTATTTTAATTGATACTTCAAAAAGTAAGTTCTATATATCTATTTTAAAACCAAGTATATAACTAGAGGTAAATATTACAAATTTATATTTCCGATTTTAGAGACGAATTACTTTTTTAGATTATTTTCCAGAATTCCCGTTTTTTTTTTCATGTTATTATTATCATCGCTATTAATATATTTGCAATTATATTTACAAAAGCTAGTAGGTACTATAATAGCCATCAAATTATTTGAATATCAAAGCTATATTAATCGCTTTGAATTTTATTGTAGTTTATATGTTAATACTTAATAATAATGGACTGCAAGCGTTTTATAGGATTATAGACTGTAATTAAATTAATTGGAATCGATTATTATACGTTTTAAATTGCAAATTATATAACATATATATATATATATATATATATATATGTATATATATATATATATATCTACATAAAAATAATTTAAATTGCAAACTGTCATAGTAATTTTACAATTTCTATTATAATTTTCAACTTCAACTTGGCTTCTGTACAGCTTGAGCTTTGTTTTATTCCAAATATTTTATTTATATGACAAATATTTATTATATAAAATTATTTCGGATTTAGGTATTTAAATACCATTTTTTTAATTGGATGCATTTATGTATTTAAATATCGTCCTCGTAGTAGTAAGCAATTATTATTCTGCATTTGCTAATAGTCAAATTGCATTAAACCTAATGTTAATTTATAATGTTGATCCTACTATTACTTACTATTTCTATTTTATAACAAAGACTTATTTCTACTTAACAAAATATCAACAGAAACCGAAGGAGATGTTCTTGTTTTGATACAAGATAGTTTCAGTTCATAACGAAGAGAAGTAGATTTTCTTCCTGGTAATAGAACAGGTTGCCTAAAGATTTCGATATGGTTCATAAACAGGGCTCTGGTATACATTGTTTTATTTAATCTTTTCAATTATATCTTTTGTTGTAAATATTACCAAAAAAAACGTATTGAAGATTATAACGTTCGTGATGGAAAACATTATGCAAATAAATGTCTCTTGCCATGGGATTGTATATTGTATAAACAAATAAAACCTTGTAATTTGTAACCTGGATTTTTTACCTCATAGGTTGGGTGAATTGGCACGGCCAGGAGGCAAATAGATCCAATGTCTTAGATAAATTTGGAAGAGGCTTTACAAAATAGTAGCTACATTATTGAACCAATGCAAAATATGTATTTTATGGATGCATTTTTTAGCACTGTAAATATTTGGGCAGAAATACTCACCAGCAAAGTTGCTCCATTTTACCCCACCTAGATGTAAGTTTTTATAGAGGTTATATTAAACAAAGCTGTTAAATCTAAATCAAAATTTACAATACATGATATAAAACAACTAAATAACGTATATTTAACAATTTTATTACGAAAACAAATAAGAATGAAAAAAAATACTTTTGTTATAGATTTTCTAACAATGTGATTAAAACGTCGCAAGAATCTTATTTCTTCTACATTCAAATATTGTTGTTAAAAAATTCTTAACTTTACTGGTTTTACTTACTTACTTATTCTGCCGCTTAATAGAAAAATGTTATTGCAAGGCCATGTTATGAAGAACTTTCCATACAAAATATTGATCATGGGGTTAGTATTTCTCAGATTGTCACATAGAAAATCTAACCTAGGAGCCGCACAAATATCAAAAAAAACGATCTTAGATAATAGGGTGTTTCTGACACAGTATCATAACATACGAGTGATGTTGCAGTTTATGTGTAAAACGCCTGAATGCACAGCAAATACATGACATTTTGACAGTATTCAGTATGATTCAGTACCCTAATGTAAAAAAGTTGGAGCGTATTATGGCGTTGCCATAATTTTTTGCTTTTGTAAGACTGAATCGGTCCTACAAGTTTAAAACATCAGGAAATCGTCTTAACTTAGTCACTGACGCCCATTACATCAGCAATAGTCATTTAATTAAAAAAGTATAAAATTTTTCTAAAACCTAGTAACACAATCCGTCTAATATAGAACTAGCAATGTGATACCTAGCCATTATCCTAGGATTGTTCGTCGGGAGAGAATGGGCAAATTGTAATTTCCTGCCTGGCAATCACCGACGGAAACGACACGAACGTCTCCTCCAGTTGAGTCATGTCAAACCAGGCGGCTGATATCAGAGCCAACGAACTTACCATGTCACTCTGATTAGATGCATTTTGAAAGATATAGTTAGATACTCATCCTATGTATTCTAGATAGATACAGATGGTTAGATCATTATTCAAAAATCTTAGGTGCAAAAAGTAGAAATTTTATTGGTATAAAATAAATCCCGGGGATTTCCCATCGAAAGAAGCCTGGTTTATACATTTTTCTGATAGATTATATGGAAATCATAATTTTTTATGATAGCTACTGTTTTGTAGACATTAAGAAGTTATTTTATAATTGTTCAAAAAATGGACGTTCCAAAATGAGTGGATTTTGTTGAATGTGACCATATTATTTCAAGTCAAAATCGGGACAGTAATTTTTAGTTGTGCTAATCCAGGACGGGGGGGGGGTGATTGATGGTGAATGCTTCAAATATTTAATATGATTTTAAAATAACAAATACTTTTTGAGAATGCAATAAAATTCCGTTTAAATGTGTTTTTTAAAAAATGTACCCTATAAAATTATATTTTGCATGAGTTGAAGAATTAGTTGAGAGTTTTACTGAACATAGTCAGATAGTTGTTTGTGTGGTATGTGCAATTTGTCGTGATATAATTGGTTTGGTTGTCAAATTGGATCTTCGCGTACCCGAAAAAGCTCAAATCTTTGACTTTGATTGACGTTCAATTATATGTTATATTTTATTTTATATTTTTGGACCTGTAAGTTTTTTCAGCTTGCAAACTTATTAAACATTTTGTTCAATTTTTTATGATTATTTAAAAATAATTACCACTTAGTTCAAGCAGTCAAGGAACACATTTCTATATTTTTCGCTAACTTTCGTAAAATTGAAAAGTTTTAAATTATGAATGTGAGTTATATATAACATTTTCAGATATTTGTAAATTTGTTATCATGTAAGGGTCAATATTCAATTTAACCTATACTTTTTGAAAATCCGGGATAAAAGATCTAAATTTGAGACAAATGTCGCTTTTAGAAAAACCCGGAACACAAGGTAAAAATCCGGGAATGTCCCTTCCAAACCGGGACATATGGTTACCTTATTTTTTGCCTTCCGGCTATCCTTTTTCGCCGTTCTTTTTGTAGTAAAAAGGACCGGATGTCAAGTTTTAGAAAAATTATTAAGTGTCTTGATATCAACCAATGAATTTAAAATATCAGTCTGATCAATTAAATTTCGAATTATAAGTAGATTGGAAATAGTTAGTATATAGAAGATTAGATCATCTGAATTTTTTTTCAAAATTTCAAAAGTTCTATTAATGGAATAATTGTCTTATATGATGGTATTTTTTAAACTGAATGTGAAAATTTTGTTGGTATGAAAAATGCCCCAACATTTTTTTTCTAAACTTTTCATAATTTTATTATAGTCATTACTCATCTCCTAAATTTAAGGTATAGTTGATTGATAACTTAACCTTTTAAACTTAATTTAGTCGTTAAAAATTTTATGTTAAAATTTGATATCTTATTATTAGTTTAGAGCAATTGTTTTCAAACTTTTTGTACTTTTGTGTTCTTTAAATTGTTATGTTTAACAATCTGATTTTATGAATACCTACCTAATATTAAAATTTGTTTAGCTGACTACAAAATAATGCATATTTGTGTAAATATATATGAACATAAACATAAATATTTAACAATTGATCTTTTGACAGCGATATCAAAGCAAAATTTATGAGAGCTGATGTAAATATTTATTTATTATGTTCAAAAATATATATATTCAGATTATAATCTTTAATTTTGTTTTTCAACTAATAATTATACTTATATTAAGTAATGCAGCTATTATTCCATAAAACCTCTTTAAAATAAAAAATAAAATAGTGCATTATTTGCCTCTCGGCTGTCTCTTAAAGGAAATTCGATAGTTGTAGCAAATAATTTATAATATTTACAAGAAATAAATTAAATTAATAATTATTTCATCTTTGCTCATAAATATTTTTGACGAAAAATAAGATCTTAATGAAATCTTGGTAATAAATGTACCCAATAAAATTTTATTTTGCATGGGTTAATGAATTAGCTGAGAGTTTTACTGAACATTGACAGATAGTTGTTTGTTTGATATGTGCAATTTACTATGATATAATTGGCGTGACTTTTACAATATAATCACTCAAAGTCAAATTGGACCTTTGTGTCCTGCCCTACCCGAAAAAGCCCAACTATTTGTACTTCAGTGTTTTATTATTTATTGCTTATAAGAAACGTACTTCAATTAAGCTTCCTGCATTGCAAAATATATAAATTAATTACAAATTTCTTTTCTACGTCTAGAGAAAAGCAATTTTCCTTATGTTTGTTCAAAACTTCAACAATTACCCCGGTAAGAATTTCACATGCAATTAAATTAAGCTCAAAAGTACAACACAAAAGACAACTGCAACAATACAAAACAAACCTTTTGAAAGACGTTATATTTAATTTCACATCTTAGAATCCTCCGCTGTGTTTCTGCATTACGGAAAATTTGATGTGTTTTTCATTTTTAAATCTCTAAGTTTTCCCAACGGGCCGCGAGCATATTTTCTTCATCTTTCTTATATTTTCTTTCCGCTTTTTATTACCCTACGTGGGTGTTAATTATTCAACCGGGACTGGGACTTTTCTCAAGTTGCTGTTGGGGATGGTTTGGGGACATTTTGTGATATCCTAGGCTCGGGGGAAAAGCATTATTAGCTTACCGACGGTTACATGAGAATTAAAATTTAATAGGGACATCTTTACGACGTAACCGCGAGTCTTCATAAATTTTAATTCGACGGTCGGGCTGTCACAGGAAAAGTTTATAATGCGGATTCACTTTAAGTTTTGAGAATTTTGTATGCATGAAAACTCGCTATAATATGGGTTAATCATTTTTAACATCTGTAAATTCATGCAGGTATATTCAATGTTTCCAATTATTAATTAGGTGTAAAAGTATCTTCACTTTTATTATGAAACTTATGCCAGTTCTATTTCATATGTTAACAAATATAATTCATAATTAAAAGTGGTTATTGCATTTTACGGAACTGTGGTCTCGATTATACTTAAAAATGTAGATTTCTAGAATTTTGGTTATTTGAATTAAAAATTTCCTTCATAACTCTAGATAAGCAGAAAACTGAGAAATATTTTGTCCACGTTAGTAGTCCAAGTAGATTTGCCGAAGCAGAAGTTTGCGAAAAAAATCTATTTACTAATTTCACCTTTTCTCGATGTCTCAAGTAATTTTTAATCAAATGTGATCAATTTTGGGAAAAGTACGTGTGTGAGTAATTTTTAGACCGATTTGAAAATTTTAAAAGTCATTCAGGAATTTATAATAAGTAATAGTATAAACACACATTTATAATGATGAAACAAAAAACTATTAACAAAATCGTACCAAGATCTAAAAATATACTTAGAATATTTTTCATTTGCTTAGCAAACAGTCACATTTCGTAATATCATTTCTTAACATCATATCTTTCAAAATAATTTCCAACGTATACTTTCGTTATATTGAATCTTGACATCTTTACACTTCTAAATATATATTCATTTATCCTAAATATGCATTTAATATAGTTCCATAAGGACTAAAGTTTGACAGTTTTGTACCACAATCAGCCAAGCCGTTTCTTTGTAATTAGTAGAAAAATGAAAATAATTATCCACGTTTTAGCCCACAAACTTGAATCGTTTTCCAAAATTCAAAAACTTTTCAAAAAATATTGATTGAGAATCACGTTAAATGTTTATGGTAAAAATCGGTCTTGAAGAATCGGTAAAAAAAAATTGACAATTTTGATGAAACTTAAGATTTCGTAGTCCGAAATAGCATACTTAAATATTATAGGTCTACGATATGCGATTGAATTATAAAATTTCATCAAATTCAGGATTTCACTGTGCACTTATGCGATTTTAATCAGAATCGCAAGTGTTTTGTAGGTAGGTAGATACTACTGATTACAGTTGACGTTTACACTTAAATAAAATACATTTTCAGATCATGAAATAGGTGAAATGAAATGTGGTAAACAAGTTCATAAATTTATACAAATACAGATATAATTATGCTTAAAATACATAAATTGGTAATTGTGTTAATTATTCTTTAGTAAATATTGTTAAGTGATTTTTTTTCAGGGAAAATTTTCCTTTCCTTGTTTTTGTCACACAATTATATATTCCAAATATATTATATAATATAAATATTTTATATTCTAAATACTTAGTAATATTTTACTAGAGTAGATATGACGGATACTACATTTACTACTACATTTATTGAAATATATGTTTTTGAAATGAAAAAAAAATAGTAAAAGCGATAGTTCTATTTTTGAAATAAACAGTTGAACATTTTATCTAAATAGCAGTATCTCGATTCTCAATGATTAATTTATGCAACTTGCCTTAAGGCAAAATACTACTCTCGACTAGTTTCATTTACATTCACATTTGCATTACTGTTATTGTAACATATATTCATATGTTATTTCTTATTCTAGATGGTATTCGCAATCAGGGCCGGAACCTTTACTGGTTCTGGCGGGTCCAAGGATAAGGTTACTGGGCCCTGTTTTGGCGGTAGAAGCCGTGACGCCGGACGATGCAGGCCAATACCGCTGCACTGCCGTCAACGCGGGCGGAGAAGCCAGTGCCGAACTCAGGTAAAATAAATATTTCTACCTCATCAAACTTTTACTCCTCACACAACTCTGATCTTTCCTTTTAATAAAATTTTCTAATTAAAAACCACCTTTCGTGTATGAAATTACAACCGTTCGTCAATTGCGTTAATGGCATTTCCATAGATCGCATTTCGGATGAGCTGCCTTCAGCCTTCAGCTTGTCGTTTGTGCACACAAACATACATATACACACTTCGTACTCGAATTAATTAATTGTGTTGTCACGAATTTCAGACTGTCAGTTACTACTCCACTCAATGTTGAAGTATCGCCGGCGATGTTGAGCGTTCACATGGGCGGCGCCGCCGAATTTAGGTGCATCGTTACCTCGCAGGGCAATCAGGTCGGGCCGCAGTTCATCACGTGGTACAAGGTAAGGGGTAAATTGTATACTTTTTTATTTACATTTGCGAATTACAATCTGTTGTTCTTATACAACATTCAGTAATTTTGATGGTATATTAAATAAAAGAAAAAGGTCGAAAGGTCACCCATTGGTGATCGATTCTATGTTGGATATGTTTAGCTTTTAGATGTAGTCCTATTGTGAAAATATTTAATTAAGCCTACGAGAAATTATACATATTATAGGATTACTAAAAAATATCGAAAAGTTGTCGTTTTCTTCTGAGCCGTTCAATGCCATAGTTTAAAAATTGTATACTTGATAGATTATTTGTTAACGGGTAAGTTATAGTAATCGATCAAAAATCGAAATTGATTTTTTTGCATATCTTTACGTTTCAGAGGTTTCTGAACATTTTGGCATACCTTAGAAAAAATTTATGTGTGTGTATGTATGTATGTGTGTATACAAATTTTCGTCCACGTGTTTGGGCGCACGGATCAACCCATTTGAAAAATTCCAAAAGCTTTCGATTCCTACTTATGGGGATTGGTGCTGATTAGTTTTTGGGAAAGGTCGGTTCAGCCGTTTCCGAGATATGAAACAAAGTGTGCAGAAAATGGAAATTAAGTTTTTGAGAGAAAAGCGTATCCGATTTGAATGATTCAAAAAACATTCTATTCGTAATGATGAGAAGACATGCTGATTAATGTTTGGCAAAGACAGGCTCAGCCGTTTCGGGGCTAATGAGTTAAAAGTGTAAAAAATGGCAGTTTTTAGAGAACATAGCATCCGTTTGAAATGATTCAAAGAACATTTTTCTTGTAAAGGTACGATTTGTTTTGATGGATATTTTTTTTATTCTCCAATTTTTTTTTTTTTTGAATATAGAAAATATTTCGGATTTCAATTTTAATTTCAGCTGAAATTTTATAGCTCACATATATACTATCTTATCTTACTATTTCTATTATTGTTACTTTGTTATATTTTATTATTTTTCTAGTATTATTTTATTATTTAGAAATTTTATTTATATTATTTAATAATTTTATTTTTATTATTATTTGCTTCTATTTTATATTAAACCATGATATTACGGTTATTATTTTCATGTAAATTCTATCCTTTGCACTCTTATTTATCTAAATTTATGTTATTATTTATCAATATTACTAGATGTTAATTATTTAACAGTTGTAATAATTATTGAAATTTAAAAAAACATATATACTTCAAATAAATAATTTTATCTTTGCAAGTATATAATTCTTTAAATTTTGAGATAAGTTCCTTCTTTCTGACTCCGCTTGATCAAGATTTGCTTCTTACTTTTCATGTAACATATATAGTAGTCATCGTGCAATTCATAATCTCCTATATTTTTTCTATAAAATACGAATAATGAAGGTCACAGTATTTATAATAATCTATTTGAAACCATTTAATATTCTTCGAAAATTTCATTGGGGTACGGAAAGTTCCAGAAATTTTGCCTTGAGGCACGATGCCATGCATCACTAGTTATTAGTTAAAATTAATATAGTAGTTAATATATATCAACTGTTTACATTAGCATGATTTGATTTGAAATATTACTTTAATATAAGCTACTTCTCTAGCTATGAAACTTTGAGTGGACAAGGGGACAAACTAAAATTTAGTCGAACTAGTAACATTTTCATATAAACGGAGTATTATAATTTGTAAATATCGTAATGAAGTGAAGCAGTATTCAGAATTTCCTAGAACTAGAAAATCATACTTTTTGAGTCTCCAGTTTCAAGAAAGCTGAAGTAGAACATTCCATTTTCTCCAAAGATATAGTGAATCAGTTATTGAAGTTACTATTGACTTTTATATGGATTCAAGTAACTTTTGACTCATGATTTGCAAATCCGCAGATTTGAAGGAGTCCGTCGTCTTGAATTAGTTCTCTGATTTTGAGACTTAGAGTTACGGCAACTCCAAATTGGCCAAAACGGTAAAAAATATTTGTTTTTTTTTAACCCGATCATATTTTCTGATGCTCTTAGTACCTATTTGACTCTATCAAAATGCATTCTTTTCTCTTTTAATATTTCTACTTCGAGTTTTTTCATCTGCTAGCAATACAAATGTCTCAGCCGGTACGCTAAATTAACGGTAACCTGAAACGACGCGTAGGTCCAGGTTAGTGAGCGAAACTTAGGGTACGCGTAAATTCCGTATAAATATGAATTTAGATTTTAGAAACAAGAATTTAAATTAATTGTTTTGTTAAATTGAGAATCAGAATATGCTAACAGATTTGGAATATTTCATCCCTTCATGCTTTCGTGCTTTGAAGTTTTAGGGTAATGTAAATATTAAATTGAAAGAAATAGTAGTAAATACATATTAAATTTTAGTGGCGAGTTGATATTTATTATTAATTTCCCGAAGAAGAAGTTAATGTTTTCATAAAAAAATCCGATTTGCTGATTTTATGTTTTTTCGACTATATCGAAAATTTTCGTATCGAATGAGGCCAAATTTGGAAAAAGTGTGTGTGTGTGTGTATGTGAAGAAAAAAATTATTTTATTTATTCATTTTTGAACAAATAATACATAATAAGTAAAAAATATGACATGAATGAAAAAATATTATTTCTGATTTTCATAAATGCTTCGTTTGGGAACAATATAACAACACTCTTGCGATGTTTTAAAAGAAGTAACATTAGCATAACTTGAGAAAAACACGTTCAACGTCGCACCACATTTTTAGCGGTTCATGGATTGAAGAAACAGCAAAACGCTAGAATTTTAGTAATTATTTCCATATTATATTTTTATACACGATAAACTTGACATGAAGGTGTTATAGAAAATAACACAAATTTATTTATGCAATTAATATATTTTAAGTGCTGATTTTGTAAGAGTTGATATTTAACATATAGTTTTCTTTTTCAGGATGGCAGACAACTACCAGGGTCTGGTCACACTGGTCAGACCTTGCTGGTGCCTTCTGTTGGTCGCGAAGACAGAGGCATGTACCAGTGTGTCGTTCGAAGGCAAGACGGCGATACTGCTCAAGCTTCTGCAGAATTACAACTTGGAGGTAAAATGAAATTGTTATATACAATATTGCATGTGCATATTTCTGTTTTAAGAAATGGTTTTTAAAGTTTTCAAATTGACATACTCATTCATACAAACTTATATGCATATGTATTTTCTAAATCGTGAGTCAAGCAAATCAGAAGTTGATTCTCTGAAACATAAAATTTTGGAATCGGATGTTATGACAAAATTATTAATATCTGCTTCGCGAAGTTAAGAACAATTCTAATAATTGTGATATATAATTTAATTATTACTTTTATTGACTTATCAAATAATCTATTTTTTTATCTTCCTGGGCCATAATTTTAACTAAACTGTATCATCAGAACCATTAATATTATAATAGAGCGTGCTTGCATTATCTCGACATCTAAATTACATCCCCCAGAGGTACCAAAGGGTTGGTGATCGGTTACGGGTAAACACAACAATCTATAGGGTTGATACTCGATATCCGAATTGCGACTCGAATTAGCACTTCGAATTCCGGAAATGTTAACTAACATTATGGACATTGCTATTAAGAAAGCATTTAATAAATTAGATGATATGCCATTGTATATTTGAAAACACTCTAAGGTTTATTAACTTCTTGTAGGGTAAGTTATTGTAAAGGACCAAAAATCGAAAATAAAAGTTTTGCATATCTTTGGGTTTAGATGTTTCTGAACATTTTGGCATACTTCAGAAAAAATGAATATGTGTGTGCGTGTGTGTGTTTGTGTGCCGCATTTTTTCGTTCACGTTTTCGGGCGCACGGATCAACCGATTTGAATTTGAATTCGATTCCTATTGATAAGGAGATGTGCTGATTAGTTTTTGGCAAAGGCAGGTCCAGCCGTTTTAGAGATACGGAGCAAAAAGTGCAGAAAATAAAAATCGAGTTTTTAAGAAAAGCATCCGTTCTAATAAGACTCTGTTTAGCTTCTGATCTAGTGAGATTCTTGTCGGAAACTTTTGATTTTATCATTGCATTTTCATACGATCCTAGTCCTATATAATTTTCTCTAGTTATCCTTCATAAACTCGTTTCCTCATTAACTGACTGAGATCAATGATGGTCTTTCACATGCCTTATAATTTCCGTGTTACATGATATAACGCTTATACTATATTATTATAGGCTATTTTCAAATTTGATTAATTACAAAGCCTTTGGCAGAATAGCCCTAGATTATGGAAACACATCAATGTGATGACATGAATGGAAATGATCCGATTCAATACCTAAGTGTTTTCCTATTGCAGGTCACTATGTCGAATCAATAAAACAATAATAATAATAATATATATATATATATATATATATATATATATATATATATATATATATATTAGGGTGATCCTTAATATGGACATTTTCGAATTTTCTTGCTCGCAAGAGCTGTAATGGTTCCAAATTGATAAAAAACAATTCTTTAGAAGTTTTAGCTCTTAATATTGTCGTTTGGATAGAGCGCAATGCAATTAAAGTTTTGTATGAAAATAGCATGAAAAAATTTTCAAAAATTTTGCAGGGCGTCGAATTTTGAATAAAAAATGACACGAATTCTCACTTTTAATTCATTTGTCGCTAAGTTATACTTAAAAAAATTTTTTTTTAATTTTCAAAATTTTTTCCATGCTATTTCTATACGAAGTTTGATTGAATTGTGCATTATCTAAAAGTTAATATTCAGAGCTAAAACTTTCAGAGAATTGTTTTTTATCAATTTGGAACCATTTGAGACCTTGGGAGCAAGGTATTCGAAAATGTACATATTGAGGACCACCCTAATATATATGTGTGTGTGTATGTATATGGTCTAATTTAATTAAAGCATTTTTGATTACTGCATAATGTAAATATCTAATTTGCAGCATAGTCTGTCCATAATATTTTGTAAAATGTACGCTCCAAAGGATTTTGCTGCACAAAAGCAAAGTATTGTATTTTTTTTATAAAAACCATCGCAGCGCAGAATTTTTTGCAGTTTGTTCTAAAATATATTACACGATAAATATTCCTTGCTCCGTGACGGCGAGCACACTTTTTTGTATTCAAGGCATTTTTAATGTGAACCAGAATAGTTTTCAGTATTTCGACCATTGTTGAAGAGAATTATATGAGTATGAAATAATATTCATAAACTTAATTAAAACCTCATATGAATAATATATATATATATATATATATATATATATATATATATATGTGTGTGTGTGTATGTGTATTAAATTTTAATTTTCGCATCAATATGATTCACTCCCTAAAAGTTACTAAAGGCTTTTCTGATTCACAATTTAAATGGAAAATAGTTTTAATCAAGAAGAGTATAATGGAAACCGACAGCAGAGAAAAACTATAACAAAAAACGTTTAATTAAAAATTCTTCATCAAAAGGATGTAATCATCTAGAAACTTCAGAGATGAAAACGGAAAACAGGATTTTAACTCGATAGTACTCCAAGAATATACCTCAGTATTGTAATGAACATTGTGATTTTATTTTATTTTTTTAGAAATAAAATTTACATTTTGATAGAATAATTTTTAACTTAAATTTAAGTATTTTATTTTATTTAGCCACTCATAAAAATTTGTTTTAGGGTAAAGAGCATCCAAATTGAATTTTTGTTTTTTCTTTACTCCATGAATTTGTAATTAAATATGATTCAAAAGTCAACAAATAAAATATTCCATTTTATGTTTAATGTTTTATATATATATATATATATATATAATATATATATATATATTATATTGAGACATTGAAAATATAAATAGCTTTTTATTGGGAAGTGTATGCAGTTAAACATGTAACTAAATCATAAAAATTTAACAATATTTTGCTCATTTTCTATGTTACATGTTTCATGTATTGTTTATTTTATTTTTAAATATCTAATGAAGTCAACAAATTAAATATACCATTTTAAGTCATAAGGAATATAAATATCATTTTTAGTAAATTAAATATGAAATTTAATCAAGAGAAATTTAATTCATTAAAGACGTAATAAGAGTTTTATGATATTTTGTTCTTATATCCTATTTTTTATTTCAATATGTCTCCTTATAATACAATATAATACAAATGGTCTAATAAAGAAGCAATTATTGTCTCTAATAATATATTACTACTAGTTTAAAGTATATTAAATTAATTTGTATGGTAAATAATATGTTATAGAGATTGAAAATTTTTGGTTCTATTGACTATGTTTATTTCTGTTTTTTTTGGCAAATTAAATGTTATTTTATTAATATCTTAGACCCTTATTTATTTATATAAAATTTTATATTTTTCCAGATGCTCCACCAGTTTTATTATACAGTTTCATAGAACAAACTTTACAACCAGGACCGGCAGTATCATTAAAATGCACCGCCACTGGAAATCCAACTCCGCAAATTACTTGGGCCTTGGATGGATTTCCTCTTCCTTCTAATGGCAGGTGAGTTAGTAATTACATTTAATTAAAATTAGGTAATAATAATGGCATTAGTTAACTTCCCGTAGGGTAAGTTCTAGTAATCGCAAAAAAATCGAAAATGGAAATTTTATATATCTTTACGTTTCAAAGGTTACTGAACATTTTGGCATTCTTTAGACAAAATGGTTGTGATGAATTTTTTGGGTTCCGTACCAAGATTTTTAATTACGGTTCGGGAAGTTACAGCAATTTGCCTTAAGGCACGATGCCATGCACCCCACTAGTTTTAATAATAAACTTAAAACGAGGACAGATGTTTGTCTTGCTTCTTGAAGATTTTTTACATTGTTGATGGTAAACCTTAGGGAAATATTCATTTCAAATCTAAATGATGTTAAAGGCTTGAAGAAAATCAAAATTTTAAATCAAAATATTAGCTTTCAAATAACATAAAAAAATAAATTCAACCTATATATTTATATGACGTAGAATTTAGCAAATTCTATTTATACCCAATATGGATCCGCAACCTACAATTCTCTCGTGTGCATTTGAATGATGTCTATTTATCGAAATATTTCTGTTATACAGGTATTAGCCTATAAAGAGCTGTTCTAAAGTCATAAAATCGATACGTTTGCATATATAGGGCATTTCACGCACCAATACTACATTCAGTTTGGCCCATTATTATTATTCTCGCTCCAACTAGAATGAAATGAGTTTGCCCCATTAGTCTGGTCCAGAGCTCGTACAACTGCGATAACTATAGTAATGGAGAAGTTTTGGTTAGATTTATATGACAACAAGATTTTGATTATTACCACCAATTTACTTCTCAAAATCAATTTTTAAATCCTTTCCTGAATAAAATCAACATTTTAATCTGTCTTTTTCATGCAGACGTGTCCTGTTCAAAATCTGTCAATTCTTTGCATTTTCTCTCTTAGGACGAGTCATTAATCATCTGCACTTCTTCCTTTTGCATTTGCATTTTTTATATAAAGACGTTTTCTACTTCGTAGTAGTGAAAGAAAGTCATCACGTGACTAGATAGATGATTTTGCTTTGAGATTGCATGTGTATTGTTAAGATAAAACTATAATAGCATTTAAATTACAAGAGAATTGATAAAATTTGAAAAAACACAAAATTAGTAAGCAATTTATTATTTTGTTTACACCATCGTATATATGCGTATTTCAGTATGTATCTAGAATCTTTTTTTAAAAAAACTTTTCATCTGCTGGAAGTATGGATTTTTTTTTTTTTTTTGAAAAATTATGAGAAAAATAAATAAATCTCTTAATCGATCATCATAGAAAGTCAACGTGAATCATCTATATATCTGCTTGTTATGCGCCTGCATATTTAATTTAATTCTTTTACACCTGTGCAAATTATTAGTCATCTAGGTGTAAATGATATTTATCTCAGGGCAAGTTGTTTGAAGTTCCTGATATGTATAATAATTGACCTAATCAACTATAGTTGAGAATTTGCTATTTAGACGAAAGTTAAGTAACTAATTAGAAATAATTTGTTTGCAATTTAAAATCTAGTTAGAGTCCAGTAATAATCTAGAAGAAATCTTAGAATACAAACAGAATCTAGTTATTTTTAGTTGGAACTTTATTACGATCACTGGGATCTAGTTAGGTTTCATCTAGTATCTAGTAGAATACATCTAGTCACATTCTAGATGTATCCTACTTATCTTTTAGTTAGAATCAACTTGGAACCCAGTTAGAATCTGATTGAATTCAAGCTGGGATCCTGTGGGATCTATTCTTTGAATTATGTTAGATCTAAGGTGAAATCTACTTAGAATTAACTTTCAACTAGATTTCACTCAAAATATAGTTAGTATCGTCTTATAAAATTTTAGTAAGTTTTGAGTTTGAAGAACCAAATAAGAATATAGTGAAATTTTACTTAGAGACAAGTTCGAATTAGGTCGGATTCAAGCCACGAAAAAGTTATAATCCAGTTTACAAAATTGCTTTAATATTTTTTTGCAAAAACGGTCACAAACAAAATGTACTTTTTAGCTAATTTAATTTAGATTGTTATGCAGCATGCTTTAAGGGGTGAATCTGCTTTAGAGTTTTCAAAATATCATTTCTTTGAGGCATTTTTAGGAAAGGAAATAAATATTGAATTGAAACAAAACTTCCAGGTATTATTGGCATATATTTCAACATTTTCTTAAATATTTTTTATTTAAATATATGGCATATATACAAGGGTACAAGCATGTGTCGTGTAGCGGCAAAGATACAAGTAACAATTTTCATCCGACACAAAAAAACAAAACAAATTTATATTTTTAATAGTATAGTTCTAGTTAATCCTACAAAATCTAAAAAAGTAAGATATTCAACAATTTTTTGAAACTTCAAAAACATATTTTTTTGGAAAAAGAAATTTTCTTTAGATTGTTCAAAAAGTGGGTTTATTATAACTTGTTTTTAAGGTTTTTTTAGGTTCAACAAGAAGAAAACTGATCTTGAATACGATCAATTTTGTCTCGTTTTGTTTTGTTTGGGAAGACACGTTTTCAAACAAAAACGATTTTTTAAAGCCTCTGAAGAAGGCTCCACCCTTAAATGCAATACACTTCTAATGATCTTAGTACTTGAAACGGTTCACAATAATCTAATTCAATTTTGGGTATTGCAACTAGTACAACCAAGGAAGATTTTAACCGCATTGCAACATTGTTCTATCTCTGGTTAATTATGGTGTTTAAATCTCTACAAAATTCCCGCAAAGTTTGAATAACATCGTTTTGTCCGCATCAGCCCATAATGCCTTTACAAATTGTACATCGCATAACGGTCAGAGCACCTAGGTATAAATATATATATATATATATATATATATATATATATATATATATATATGGCAGTTCGGCATGTGTAATCCTATTAATTATGCCGTGGATATTATTGATCAGTATGCAATAATGACGTCATATTTCAATACTAAACCAATATCAATAGCAATAGAGCTTACACTGGCAAAATTGACGATTCGGCATTCTATGTGGCCAATGTTGATTGCAAATAGCGGCCAGATGACACCGATGATACAGAAAGAGAATTATGTTCAACAAAATGCGCAGCTCATTAATAATTTCTGCCGCATAAATGAGATAAGCTCGAAAAAGCTTGTTAATCAAAAGCTAATTAATTAGTAAATGACCTACATTTGGTAAATTATTTAGTTTTAGAAATGGAATGCAGACTATTCATTTGTTTAATGCATGGTATTGAATAAAACCTGTCAAAGTATTTAATAATTATATTCAATTTAGTTTGCCAATTAAAATGCGTATTTAGTGCAGCATCAATTCGTCTCTATTAGTATACATACTCTGAATTGATAATTAATTAATTAATGATTTGAAATACGTGACTCCATTAAGACAATGTAATCTTGTCATAGACTTATACTACATAAACTGCTAGTCGAGCGCAAAAACAAGGGACTGTGACGCCACTTGCTGAGCGAACGTTGCCGACAATCGCGGATCTCCCGAATGATTAAATGTCATATGTCATATGTTTATTTTAATAATATAATGGCTATTCTGATGGCTGATAATTTTGTAGGAAATGGTATTAATAATATTTAATAATATTTATTATAATAGTTATTTCAATTCAAATATTATCTGTGATAGTTTTATTTCAATAATATAATGGCATTTGTGATGGCTGATAATTTTGTAAGAAATGATATTAATAATATTACCCTTGTGAAAAAAATTTGCATAAAATCGAATCCACCTTTGAAAATCGGTTATGTATTGTAGGGTCGATGTTAGGCACGTATAATACATACGACTTTAATCGATCGGGAGAGTTCCACGATTGTCAGCAACGTTCGCTCAGAAGTGACGTCACAGTCTCTTCTATGTTTGAACACTATATACAACGAAAAACATATGAGGACTAGCAGTTCATGTAGTGTACATAGTAGTACCAAGAGTAGTCAATATTTGCCGCCAGTATATATTTTTATGTATTTAAATTAAGCATCAGGAACTTATTTTTAAACCAAATAAAGTCTTGATATTCAAATGGTCAAACTAACAAAAAAGTTTAATTTGTTTTGTAACCATTTAGCAAAAATGTCAAACCTATTTTGATACAGAATTCTAACTAGACTATGTCTTGAATCTGACTGGATTCTAACCTTGATATTATTCAACCTACTACAACTTGATTTTTATTATTTATTACAAACTTAAAATGTACATTTTGATACATATTTTATCAACTTAATAAGTTACATATTATTATTTTGTAATTTAATAAAGTAATATAAAATTCAGTAAAAAATATTCAATTTAAATTTGCGAATCTATAAGTAAATATCTTTCTCATTCCCTATGTTTCCCATATTTATTTAAAGTTCTTCTTTTATTTTATCTTAATCTATTTAAATTTTAACAGAATCCCAACTTTAATTTAAAAATAATTATTCAACTAAAATAAAATAATTCTGTCATTTCTGTCATTAAATATTTTTTAGAGTTCTTTCATTTTATCTTCAGTTAATCATCATGTATGATTTAAATACGAAATATTTAAATAATTTTGTTTACCAGTATTTTATTTCGTGTTGAACGAATATGTTTATTAACAAATATTATTAATTATTATTTTTGTCTATATATTTTAAAAGTAAAAACATAAAATATGTTAATTAAAATGCATACGCTAAATATTGTACATACTAACACATAGTTTTACATGATATACATTTTTATTTATTCGTTAGCAACAAGAATAGAACTTTTTTTCAATTTTGACAATCTTTGGTATGATCATATCAAATATTTAGTTTCTATGGTCGAATTTTGTATTACTTTCAACCAGCAAAAATGCATTACAAATAGATTAATTAAAATAAATAAAAAATATTTAGAAAATTTGATACCCACAGGTAGTTTTCATTAGAAAGAATATGTACATTTATTATATGATACAAATGAAAACAACAGAATTCAG